AGCAGCCGCTTGGGCGATTGACTTGCGGTAATTTTTATAGGGTAGCAGCATCTCTTCTACCAAAAATAGGATACTCTCGATGCATGTGGGTCAACCCCAGTGCACGTGCAAAATACAACAATAAGAGGTGTCAAATTTGTTCCCATTTTAATAACTCGGTAATTACTGGGGCGATTTTGCTGAAACTTGGCATACAGGTAGGCACCCACCAGGCAATGCATTCCCATGTGTTGCGGTTAAGGTGCTACTGCACGTGCGCACGTGCAGGGGGCGCTTCCAGATCTCGAGAACGGCTGGGCCGATTGCGCTCAAATTTGGTACACGGTTGGGGACCAGTTAGTAGGGTGCCGTGCAAAAGTCAGTTTGGACCCCGTTTGCACGTGCGCACGTGCAGAATGCCGCTTCCAGATCTCAGGAACGGCTGGGCCGATTGCGTTCAAATTTGGTACACCGCTAGCGACCGGTTAGAAGGGTGCTTTGCGCAAGCCCGTTGGAAGTACCCTCTCGCCCTTCCGCACGTGCAGGGCTCACTCATGGGCTCATGGGCTCACTATCTCGCTCGCTCGTTCTTCGCCCAAAAGGCGTTTTACTGGTTTGTATGTCCTGGTCAATGTTAAGATCCTAGGTCATTGGTTGACCTCCCAGATCAGGTTAATAACCCAAAGGCACGGAAAATTGGGTCGTGCTAGAATTTCTAAAAGTGAAGTTTGCTGGGACTTAGCTTGCTTCTGTTTCCGAATTTGCACTTGCTTTGATCAAGGATGATGTATCAAAGCATTTGGGGTAGGACGGGTCACGCCAGATCACCCATCAGGCGTTCTGCCGGCTATCCATAGAATGTTAACCAGCACTTACAGCCTTGCAACATATTGCATAGGCACTATAACTGATACCTAAGTATGCCTAGTTTTCAAATGCTAAAATGGGTGCTAAATTTCAAACCAACGCTTCCTAAAAACCACAGTAAAAAGGTGTTAATTTAAGAAAGTTAACCGAGATCATTTCAAGTAAATGACCTTGGCTTAGCCTGAGTTTCACGTGACCTTGGCACCCACAACAGTCAATGAGGCAAACATTAGATAGTATATTTCACATGTTGTCACGTCCCTAATTACGCAACGACTATGGAAACACACAGAAGATGTGCGCTGACTTTCAATTGCTATTCTGGCCTGACATGATCTTGAGAAAAATAATCACAGGTTAACCTCGCCCCGTTGGGGGCGGCCAATTTGGCCCCCCTGTGGTTTTTCCTGAAAAGCAAGAAAACAGGGGCCGCCAAATTTTCAGTACCTTCCCGGGCATCAATTTGACACCTTCACACCAAATTTCAAGTCTTAGCTCACCTTTGGTCAGGAGTTATTGAGGTCAAACTTAGGTCATGTTCGAGCAAAAATGAGCAAAAAACATGCAAACTTGAAACGTTCACCAAATCTACAGTTACCAAGAAATTTCAAAGTTCTTTATATGGTTTAGTAGACAAAAAGCGGCGCTACAATATTGCTATCTCGGATTCTCAAAATTTTGGGTTTTTGACCCCCAACAATAAAAAAATGATTTTTTTAGAAAAACTCAAAAAATCAAAAAAATCCGAATTTCGAAAAACGGAATATATGTGATAGTCCCTGCGCTCTTCTATATACATACTAAATTTCAGATCGATATCTCGTTTTTTGGCCAAGTTATAGCGAAAAAACTGTTAAAAAATGATGACGTCAAAATTTTTAATACAATATTTATCGACTCTAGACCACGTGTGGCAAAACAAAGACCACCATTGAGCTCCCCGTGACGAGCTGCATCGAATCGATGCCCATTTTATGCAAAAATATCAACTTTGAAATTTGACCTAATTTGACCTGATCTTGACCTGACCTTGACCTGACCTTCACCAAAACGTGACCTAAGCTAGCCCCAAAGGCTGCCTGACCCACATGATCGCATTTGTCATGTAAAATGGGCCATAAAACATGTATTACACGACACTTTCATATTGTGACCCCCCAGTGACCTGACCTCTGTGACCTGACCTGGTATCAGTTACCTCAAATAGCAAAATATGTGTTTGAAGAACATTTCCCCATCATTGATTTTCAATTAAATGCATTTTACTCGCTTTTACAACGCATTTCTTGAAATGCCTGTAAACGGTGAAAATTCGACCTTTGACCTGACCTCTGACATCATCAGTTTGACCTAGGTCAATAAAATTGGGTCACAAGGAAGTTCCCTGATAGGGCTATCCAACACCGTTTGCCGCTTGTCGCTAGGTTGCGTGGTTTCTCGACTCTCGAGATCTTGGGAGGGCCAAATTGCCCCCCCCCCCTGTCGTGATTTGTGCCTAGCGCCGTTCAGTTTGTTACGCGCTCAGCGGTAGCGGTCAGCCGGCCGGCGAGCGGCCGGCGCGGTGGGTGCACGCGTACGGGTCGTGGGCCGTGTGCTGTGTCTATGGCCCGGGGCGGTGACCCGAGCTTATGTCAGGGCCGGCCAGGTAGCGCCGGCCAGTTGATCTCTGGACCTCCTCGCGAGCGGGTACGGTACTGATACCGCCCCGGTCTGTGAGGCAAGGGCCGGTCGTATCAACTCGGGCTCCGGGCGGAATCGGTTTAGCTACCGGTCCACTGCACCCCGGTGTCGGCGAAATTAAACACTGGCAAATAACTTAAACTATCAATGTCCCCACTTGAATATTACGATGTATTGATCTCGATGTAAGGTCCGCTGGTTTAGTTTGCCTCGTTTGGGTCGCTTCAATTAGGCAATTATTAATTGCCTAATTGAAGCGACCCAAACAAGGCAAACTAAACCAGCGGACCTTACATCGAGATCAATACATCGGTGTTAGGCATAGTGTGAGCCTCGTCATATCTCTTTGCTCAGTTGTATGCAATACAGATCCAATTGAGTTAATTTCTTGTTATTTGAAAATCAAGGTAAATCGTTCGGTTGGTGTCGTCACCATCGTTCTGATCGAAAGACGTAAATGTAACAAATACAGTCCACTTTTATCAGTAATCACAACACCCCCCCCCACGGGGGGGGGCTCCGGGGGGGTTGCTCCGCAGAGCCCAACGGGGCGCGGGTTAAAGGTAATTTGGTTCAGGGATTTAAAATTCTCGGAGAAGATGCAAAAATGATGAGGGCTATTTAATTTTCCGGGAAGTTGTAAAATTGATTAACCCCAGGTCACCAAAGAATCGTCGCAATCCTTCGCTTTGCCGCGATTTATTGGTGAAAAACAGGGGGCGCGGTCTATTTACCTGGCTCTACTTATATGTGTGGTGAGGGTTAATATTCATTTTATCTATTTTTTCACAGGTTGTTAAGAATATGGTAGGGAATAAAATATATGAAAATTTGCCAAATCGAAGGTGCCGTGTTTTTTGCTATTTCAATTTGTGTGCTTAAGAACAGAGTTAAGCAAATTTCAAGGTCATATATTTAAGTAGGTGCAATTCTAAACAAATGCTTAAGAAATTACCTAAACAGTAAGGTTTATTTCATTCAAATCAACCAAGTACAACCAAAGTTATGGTCGTTCAAAAATATAAAGATGCAACATTTTGTAAAAATTCGATGCCCTTTATTTAGAAGACCTGTTGTCAGAATGTGCAAAAAACATCAATGTAATGTTCGGGGCGACACAGGAACTCGCTCACAAATTTATAATGAAATCGCTGATGGTAAGGTGCAAAACAGCCGATTTTTGTTCGATTTGACATGGAATGCCCCATATACCACCGCGTGCTACAAAACGTTTTAGTCAAACATTTAAAAATCGTTAGATATTTGCGCTGACGTCACACATTCAGAGGGGTATTCCTAAGCATTAGCCCCTCTGAATCAAAATGCTGCAATTTTGAAATTCAATATTTCCGATTTAAGGCATTTCTCGATGTTGTGAGTGCCGAAACCGGTAATTGAGCCAGGGACCCCATTTTGGCTATCTCAACTCAAATCTAATGTTAAGGTGGGAGGGTCCCTTTAATGTAACACAATTCACTTTGTATACGAAACCTATAAGTCCCTAAAAAATAATCCTATTTACAGCTTTTAAAAAGATACAGCTTATACAGCTTAGGCATACAATTTTTTCCTGCACTAAGATAATATTCATTTATCTCCACAGAATATGGTAAATTAGTGCTGCTGAAGTTCGCTTTCGAAGCGTCTCCTCCAGGCATTCCACATTTCTCTAGTGCCATTTTGGATCACGGAACATGGCTGGACGCGGGACAAGTCCGTCTGCGAGCTTGGACGGACCACGTGACCACCTCCTCCCCTCCCCCTCACTCCCGTCCCCTTCCCCAGCAGGGCGTCCGATCTAACCGCGCCCCAGGCAGTCGGCTCTGTCCGACCCTCACTGGTCGAGCCACGGCCCGGTGCCGCCTGAGTTTGTGCCGGGTGCAAAACTGGAGCAGTAACTAGCGCCGGAACTAGTAATCAGCACGACCATCGTCAGATGGCAGGAGTGAATGGAATAAGCGGTTCCAGGTTTCAGAAGGAATGGGGCAGGAAAAAGCACTGAAAACAATGTTTTGCTGATATAGCCATAAAAAGTTCACTGAATTAGGAGAGCAGCACATCAGTTTAAAGCCCTTCAGATGGTGGTTTTAATAAACGCACAATCATTTCCCAATTCGCCTCCAACGGTGTCACAGGCCAAGAATACGCTGAAATACTAGTGTGTACAGAAGCAACTGCGGGTCCCTGTACCTTCACTAGGTCTTTGAGGTCATTTTTGGTGAGTTTCGAGCAGTAGCTATCGATTCCGCTGTCTGTAAGCCTAATCATGCAAAACCCCAGAATTTGACCTTTGACCTGACCTTGACCCGAAAGTTGACCTCAATCTTAGAATCTTAAGAGTGCTTTGGGAAGGTGTCTTAGAGACCTTTCGAAAGCCGCCTCTCGGGGCTCGATACGACCATTGGTTCTCGAGATAACAGGGGGGGGGGTCGGAAAATACCCCCCCCCCCAGGCTGTCGTGGGTACGGAAATAGCTCAGGCGGTGCCGGGTTCAGGCGACAGCAATACCTTTTGAAAATTTCTTTTGCGACAGCTTGAACTATTTTTCACCTTTGTCGATACGACCATTGCTTTCGAGACAGCAGGAGTGTGCTGAATCCGACACCTCCTCATGCCGTCTTGGGTTAGGAAATAGCCCAGGTGGTGCCGAGCAGAACCGACTACCATCAGAGCGCGGGCAATAGACACCGTCACACATGAATCCTCACCTTATTTCGAATCAACCGCAGCAGCTGAGATACGGTCGCCTCCCTGTAGCTCTGGAAGTGGCCTTTGTCCAGTGACTTGTCGATTATCGTCCTCCAGTCCCTGGGTTCACCCTGCTCACCCTGCTCTCCGAACACCCGAGTGGGACATTTGTCGACCGTGGCCTTCAGCTCTTCGTCTTTTGCCATGATGAGGTCGCTAATGGCCTGTAAACAAAGCCACATTTACGAGTAAGGGCTCTACTAAGAGACCTTTCGTCAATCATATTTTTCTCGTTTAGCATCTGACTCCTTTCAATCCCACTTCTATTGCCTAAATATCAAACCAATTCATGTGTATTAGGGTGGTCATTTTTTCGCAAAGTATATGGAGTTATCGTTCCAAGCCTCGATTAGGATGCACTTTTTCATGCTGATTCTAAATCCGTCGAGAAAAAATGAAAAATTATAAATAATTACCCCTGTACCTAAGTCTTTGAAGTTTTTCGATGACGTCAAACATAGACCTCTGTACACATGGACTGGACACATAAAATCTTGCCATAACCACAACGGCCCTAAAAGTAAACATTATAACTCGGGAGCCCGTTTACCTACGACATCCATTTTTTTCACCGCCGCATAGCCCAATTCATCGAAATTGATGGGCACCATCCGCCACACAGATGCGGTGTGATGGGGGAGCACCTGCACGTGGCGCGTGGGAGATGTTTATGGAAATGGCTTGACAGTATCTCTGGAATGGCTGGGCGGAATGACTTCAGATTTGGCACACAGCTAGGTATAACATACTTGCCAATAACACAAGACCCCAATTGTGAGGTGCCGATGTATAGTATATCTAAAAAGTATGCCCCCTGGTTTCGCTCTCCCACAGGAGGCGAATCGGTAACTTGGCTGAATCCCAGTTGCGGCACCCGGCCGCCAGGGTCGCTGCCGCGCGAGCGCGGCCTTGACCGCTCGCATGTCATTGGCAGTTCGGTCCCTCCCCATCTCTACCGAGGTGAGGAGGGGAGAAGAGGAGAAGAGAGGGGAGGGAGCGGCATCCGCTCGGCACTGGGCGATACCTGGCTGACCCCGCGCTCCCTCGCTGACCTCCGTCCTGCCCTCAGGCAAAGACCGACTTCCTCGGCCCGTAGCGGCCGAGCGGAAAACCGAGCTCGCGGGGTGGGACTCCATTGGCCCAATCTTATAAATGGAATGCTGTCGTATTCACGGCATTAAATAATATCAATAGTGATACCAGCAGTGGATGTGGTAAAATACAGTCCAAAACAAACGGAAGCACACGATTCGTGCATAACCCTCGCCCGACGAGGGCCTTTTCCATAACACGGACGGCGAGGGGGGGTTGGTACGACCCCCCCTGGCGATTGGCTTCTATGGCACTTAGAAACACCAAATTTACAGGGTAGATGGGTCTATGGGAGGTCTCGCCCCTGTGCAAATTTGGTTGCTCTAGGTTGAGGGGGGTTTTGGGGGGTATAATTGTAAATTTTTGGCTAAAACATGCCAAAAGTTTTTCGTTTATAACTTTTGATCTAATTAAGATAGAGCAAAAAAGAAAAGCACCAGTGAACTCAGCACGTCAAGGCGCGTCGAATGATATACTTGTTTGCTTGCTTAAGTGTACATAAAAAGTTAAGCACATCTTAAGTACATTTTAAGTCTTGACCCGCGCCCGGCTGGGGGTCCTGGATTTCCACGCCCTGCTGGGGGGGTGTTTGAACACCCCCTTCTAACTCGGCTCCTGGGCCACGTAGCGATACGCGGAAGGCGGCGTTCGAAAGAGCGCCAAAAATAATGACGAAATCACTTCGGTCACTTTTTGGTCAGGTCAAAGGTCAGGTCACCAGAGGTCATTGAAGGCAAAATTTCGCCGATTTTCAGGTCAAATGTCGACAATTTCCAGGAAGCCAACGCATAACTCGGGAACCAATAAAGCTACAGCGCCACAAAAAAGCGCATTCGATAGCCCTATTAACGCCCTTTCTGAGTTATTCTCTCAGATTTGGCCTAACTTCAACGGTTTTGCCTGCAGGGGGCAAAAACTGCAAAAATAGCCGATTTTTTCGGAAACAGTTTTTCTGCAATAACTTTTGACCCAAGCCTTTTACGAGCTTACTTTTACCGGCATCGTGTTCCTCTCGTCAAGACGCATCGAATGAACTGTAATTTGACCTTGAAAGGTCAACTTGAAAATTTGACCTCAGGTCAAGGTCATGACCTGACCGGAAAGGGTCATATTGCATATCAGTCGATCCGTATCGTCGAGCTGAGCACATCTAAGGCGTTTTCACCGCTCTAGCATGCCTCTATAAAAAGTTATTTGCGAAAAACTGTTAGACACCATTCGTGACCTGAGATGACCTCAGGGGCATAAATAGGGGTCACGGACACCATTTTCATGTTCAGTGTGTCTAAACCACTTGTAATTCAGTGTTTGGGAGTGTTTATAATGTCTTTCGTCCAAAAGAGGCGCAGTTCAATTTTCTCCCATTGACTTATAATGGGGAGGTCGCAAAATTGACCTGACCTTAGGTCACCGATATCAAAATTCTGAGATAAACATTTGATAGATACTGTTACCCTTATTAATCGCTGAAAGTTTCAATGCGATCGGTCACTCGGTGTAGCTATGGCAGACATTGAAACTTTTTATGAGGTGAGGTCACTTCAAGTGACCTGGTGACCTGACCTTGAATGACCTTGGTCTGAAATTTTCACAACATGTGCAGAATTGATGTATGATAAGGTGTACCAAAAACAGCGGCGCTCCGCGCCGCCGTTTTTGAGATATTCGCAAAAAACCACAAGGGTTTTTGAGATATTCGTTTTTGAGATATTCGCAAAAAACCACAAGGGTTCAAACACCCCCCAGCAGGGCGCGGGTTAACCCGCGAGTTGCTGGGGGGGGAGGGTTAAACGCCCCCACTTTTTTTCGCCGGGGCATAGCATAAAAACGGCGCGCCAAATTTTGAGTACCTGTAGGGAATTGATTGAAGTTCATTGTGACAAAGTTTCAAAAAAAAAAAAAATTGTCGGAAAATTTTTTGAGATATCGAGGTTTTAGTGACGTCATGATTTCTGAGTTTTCGACCAAAAACGGCATACGTTTAAAAAAAAATCATATAAAATCACAGAATAAACATACAGATATGCCGTAAACGCCATTAGAATGCCAATACCATGAACAATAAAATGGCTATCTTCAATTATTGATTATCGTTCCGCATTTTCCAAAATCTTGAAGTGAATCTTGGCAATTTCTCGTGACTACTTCACGACCATGATACATGCATTTCTTAAATTGATTTTTTTAGCCAAACACGTAGACACATGATAAAATGAATGTTACCATCGTCTTCTACGCCCCAAATTACCCGTAAAACATGTGTCACAGTCTCTCTGAAATGTTCAACACAACAATACGAGGGGGCGGTAGGTACGCCGGCACGGAGCGCCCGCGGGCCTAAGATTGCTGGTAGTGGGGTCGCTCGTGACAGCCTGGACACAATGGGGAGACGCCAGCAAGCAAAGGCGTGACTTACCGGATGCCCTTTCGCGTGTGGAGCGTCCCATCTCCGGGAGATGATCGCAGCGGCTGGAGCGCGCACGCACGAAAAACATGAGCGGCCGCCGTCTGACGTGCCACTCACGCACTGGAGGCGCCCGGCGGCCGGCGCAGTGTCCTCGCCAGGCCGGGCGGGCTGTGTTTGCTTACCCGACCGCTGGCGCTTATCTAGCCTCCAATTGGCGCCCGCACCCTCTGTGGCCGGCTCCCTCATATGCCGGTCACCTCCAGGAAACGGGGGGCCGGTTGTACCTCTAACGCCAACCGTTAATGTATTTTGCACGGAACTGACGTGAAAAGACCATTATTGATTATCGTTCCGCATTTTCCAAAATCTTGAAGTGAATCTTGGCAATTTCTCGTGACTACTTCACGACCATGATACATGCATTTCTTAAATTGATTTTTTTTTAGCCAAACACGTAGACACATGATAAAATGAATGTGACCATCGTCTTCTACGCCCCAAATTACCCGTAAAACATGTGTCACAGTCTGCGAACATCAGTTTTGATTTTCGGGGATATGTGCCTACCCGGTTGACCTGACCTTGACCCTGACCTATGCTTGACTGACCCCTACATGGAGCTGACACTCTTGTAGGCCTTATATGATAGATTGTGCACCGTTTTGACAGAGTTTATGACGAGAGGCGCTCATTGCGAAGTCCTGAAGTCCATGCTACTGAAAGCCCGATTTCAGGTGTTTGACCTGACCTTGACCCGACCTGTGACCTCAAAATTCAACTTTAAAGTATTCATCTGAAGCGTCTCGTCGCGTTTTTCGTTTGCCGCCTCGTGCGTTTCGCTGCGCCTATTGGTTCTCGAGTTATCGGCTGGGGGCGTTTCACGCCCCCCCCCCCAGCAAACGGTGGGTAGCGAAATACCCCAGCAACTGCCGGGGGTAAGGTCAGGTCACCAGGTCACTTTGAATGACCCAACCTCAAGTCACTTTTTTGCAAATTTGTCACCGTGTCAGAGCTGCAGTAGATGTCGGAGGCCTTTGAAAGTCGTAGGATGTTACCTATAAGGTCAATAGTAGCTACAATTTGTATATCTTGGAATTTTGATATCGATGACCTAAGGTCAGGTCAACTTCTCGACCTCCCCAGTATGTCAATGGGGGAAAATCAACTCCGTGTTTTCACCACTAAAACGGGTCAGAATGGCCCCATAAACCATATATGACTTTCATATACGATCAACCTTCACTACCTTGAGGTCTGTTTTGCTGATGGGCAGCTGCAAGGTCATGTGACCAGTGACGTCATCAAAGGTCGCCAAAGTTTTTTTTGCCGATAACTCCGTACAGGAACAAGACACGGCCGCGCGGATGGTTTCATTGTGTTCAGCTCGTCAAGGCGCAACGAATGATATACATGATGACCTCGAGGTCACGTGACCTGAAGTCAACCTTTGACCTTGATCTTTCGAGGTCAACATACATATCGGTCGATGCGGATTGACGAGAGGATCATGATGATGTCCTTATTTTGTTCCTAGCTTGACTAGTTCGAAAGTTATCCGAGAAAAACTCTATGCATATCTAGCGCCACCATTTTGACTTTTTTGACCCCTGTGACGTCATCTTTGACCTGACTTGAAAATGATCACACTAAAAATTGTAGACCTTG